ACTCAAGAACTCACACTCTTGCTTGGTGTTTTCACTCAAGGCTGTTATCACTTGAACCATGGACTCCACTTCTGGGTTTCTGGTGGTTAATTGGAGATAAGATTTGTCTGCCTGGACTGGCTCTGACCTTCAATTCTTAGATCTCAGCTTGCTCAGTAGCTAGGATGACAGGTGTGAACCACTGGAGCCTGGCTACCATGTTTGTTTCTTACATAGGTGTTGACAGATTCTCAGGAGCAGGGAGTGTTTGGCCAGCACTGCGAAGCTAAGTGCTTGCTGTGTGCGCTTTTTGTCTGACTCCCTTTCAAGGCCTTTGGTCTCAAGGGCTGATGTATAATTCCTCTCTTTGTTTAGGTAAAGCAAACCCACTAATGTGTAAAAGACATTGGTTGCTCTGTCTGAGAGGCATGCACTTTCTTTCTGGCAAATATACCAGAAAGGATGTTAGAAAGATTTATTAAATGATGGTGGTGGAGGTTGGAGGCTGTAGGCTTTATCTATTACTCGTTCACTCAGAGGCATTTGTTTAGGGAGCTTAAAGGAAAGGAATTGCAGCTGAGGTATAGCAACCGTGTAAAACTGGGCATTGATGTCCAATTTTCAACTTCTACCTTAAGAAGTATTTACTTGGCCGGGTGTTGGTGGCTCCCACCTGTAATCCTAACTACTCAAACAAGAGGCTGAGATCTCAGGATTGTGGTTTGAGACCAGCCTTGGCAGGAATGTCTGTGAGACTCTTATATTCAGTTTACCACGCAAAAGCCAGAAGTGGAGCTGTGGCTCAAGTGGTAGAATGATAACCTTGAGCAGACAATGCTATGAGACAGCACTCAGGCACTGTTTAAGGTCCATTTGACTAGTGCCTGTCAAGTAAATACTTGAGAATTACATAGACGGATTTGTAATTTCAAGATGGGAATAATATTTAGAATTAAATATTTCACAAACTAGGACAGCATGCCAAAGCCTGTGGCATCTCTCCTAATTACACTGAATTGATTTACTTAAAGTTCAGGAGTTGTCTTTTGACTTGCCTAGTTCTATCTGTATTCCTTCATATGTAGATCTCTTTCTTACGCCTGCAATCCCAGCTACTCAGGAGGGAGGAAAGTCTTTGACACTCATCTCCAATTAATTGTCAAAAAAGCCAGAAGAAGAGCTGTGGCTTTAGTGGTAGAGCACTGGCTTTGAGCAAAAGAAGTTCAGGGATGGCACACAGGCCTCGAGTTCAAGTCCCAGGACTGGCACCAAAAAAAGAAAAAAGAAAAAGAGTACAGTTGAGTCAGTGGAAATCTTCAACAAAAAAAAAGGAGAGAATAATGAACTACTAAATGTTGGATTTCCTGAAAGACAAATTGATGATTGCTCTTAAGTACACGAATTATGGTAGAAGCCAAATGTGTTGCTCTGGAGTTAAATCTAGGAGATGTATGGTAATGGCCAGTTATGGGCACTAAAGGTTTCTGGGGGACAGTGAGGAAATAACTTGTGTTAGGCGACCTGAACACAGACTGAATGATTGAAAGTTAATGAAATTATCTTGTAAATAAGGAACAGTTTTCTTAAGGAAATATACAATACTACCTTTGTTCTATGACTTGTATTTTTGCTTTGAATTTTGGTCTTTCAGAAGTAGGCATCAAAACTTACACTCCTTTGTCCTTTGGTGCAAAATATGGCGGCATTAAGTCCCTGAGCAAGACCCAGAGAACAGGGTGTGTGGAATGGTGACCTTGAAGCCAGCCTGGGTAGGAAAGTCCATGAGACTCTTATTTCCAATGAACCAGCAAAAAAATCCAGAAGTGGAGCTATGGCTCAAGTGGTAGAACATTAGCTTTGAGTGAGAAATGAAGCGACAGAACCCAGGCTCTGAGTTCAAGAGCCAGGACCAGTACCAAAGAGAAAAAAAGAAGTACATATCAGAGAAAAAGAAAACCATATTCCCTTGGGCACACTAGGAAGCCACTACAGAGGGGAGTCTCAGGAAAGGCACTTGGAAATGAGAACATATAGTTGACTATGCATTTGCAATTCCATTGCTACCAGGGAAGATGCGTCAGAGGTGCAGGTAATACAGTAAGGAGAGGCAGGTGGGGTTCAGCCTTTGACTAGCATTGTTCTTGAACCTAGGGAGCCGGACAGTGCTTTTTGTAACAGGAGCTCATAAGAATTTGCCTTTTGTTTCCAAGCAACTCTTTGTAAGCTAGCTTTACAATGAGTTTTGTCTCCCTCTGCTGGCGTAAATCATTATTGAAGACTGCTTTCTTTGTAGCTGGGGTCCTGGAGGTATTGAAGGCTTAGAGATCTAAGTCACCTGTGTTGCTTTTTGTGCATGAAGGAAGACAAATAAGACCATGCCATTTGCTTCTATATATAGTAGTTATTTAAAATCACCCGTGAGATCTGAATGACTGTCCTTGTTTGGTTGTTAGGAACATCTGTAGGTATGGATGGGCACACAGCCTGATCGCAGGCTTTGGATTGCACATGGCATTCCTGATAAGGGGTCTCCTCAGGACAAATCTTTGCATGCAGTTTATTTCGCAAACCCCAAAGGCTGGACTGAAAGAACTGCCAGTCACCAAAATGTGAGCACTGTAACAAGTACAGTGTCATCAAAAATAGAGCTCCATGCCAGGCCCTGGTGGCTCATGTCTGTAATCCTAGGTTCTCAGGAGGCTAAGATTTGAGGGCCATGGTCCAAAGTCAGCCTGAGCAGAAAAGTCTCTGTGAGACTCTTATTTTCAGTTAACCACTCAAAAAACGAGAAGTGTGGAGCTGTGGCTCAAAGTGGTAGAGTGATAGCCTTGCATAAAAGAGCTCAGGAACAGTACCCTGGATTCAAGTCCCAGAACTGACCAAAAGGAGGGGAAGAAAAAGGGGTGGGGGGAGCTCCAGCCAGCCACCAGTGGCTCATAGCCTGTGATGCTAGCTACTTGGGGGGCTGAGAATGGGCGGATCACACTCTAGGCCAGACTGCGCAGAAAAGCTGAAGCAAACTTTATTTCTATGGTGGGAAGTTGGATGTGGTAGCATGTACCTATAATCCCAGCAGTTATGGAAAGCCAAAAATAGATTGTCAACCAGGAACATGCCTGGGCAGAAAGCAAGACTCTTATCTCAAAAATAACTGGTGCAGGGCTGGGAATGTGGCTTAGTGGTAGAGTGCTTGCCTAGCATGCATGAAGCTCTGGATTTGATTCCTCAGAACTACACGTAACAGAAAAAGCTGGAAGTGGCGCTGTGGCTTAGGTTGTAGAGCACCAGCTTTGAGCACGGAGAGGCTCAGGGACAGAACTCAGGCCTGAGTTCAAGCCCCCAGGACCGGGAAAAAAATAACTGGTGCAAAAAGGACTGGAGGCATGGCTCAGCAGTAGAGCACTTGCTTAACAACCACGGGGCCCTGAGTTCAAACCCTAATAGAAAAGAAAAAGAAAAAGGAAAAAAAATGGTGCTTACATCTCTGGGTACCTTGATTATTCTTCCTTTCTCACCGTAGGCCTAGTGCTGAAGCTTTAGGCAGGTGTAGCTCCCACCGTCTAGGTGTAGGTGAGGTGTTGGTTGAACTGTGTGTCCCCTGTCAGGACCCCTGGATCACCCCTGATGTGAGGATGCACTTGTCTGAGGACCCCTTTTCTCTTTGGGCTTTGTGTCGCCATTACTTTGTGTCCACCGATCCTTTTGGAAATTCTTTATTTGGCTTGGCTTGTGTCATGCTGAACTTCTCAAATTCTGCTGTTTCTTTGAAGTCACCTATTTCTTCCTTGCTTGCTCTTCCTTTTGCTCTTTGATGTGTCCCCCAACATTTTATCCGTAGGATCTGTATTCACCTCAAAAAAAAAAAATCCCAGCTGCCCCTCAGGTCCCCGTGCTTCCCGATGGGTGTTAGTGTCTCCAGCTGCTCCAAGCTGTTTTCCTTTGAGAGCTGCTCTGTCCTCTCCCCCTAAGATGTTGAAAGTGAGGCCTGTGTTTGATGGGCTGCAGGCCTCCTTTCTCTGTGACTCACTTCCTTTCCTAGCATCCCTCCCTCCATTGCGTATCTCTGCCTAAAACTTACAGCTCATCACACAGCCGCTGGCAACTCACGCCTGTGATCCTGGCTACTCAGGAGGCTGAAGAGCTGAAGATCATGGCTTGAAGCTGGCCTGGGTAGGAAAGTCCCTGAGACTTCTGTCTCCGTGAACTAGCAAAGAGCTTGGTGTGGAGCCGAGGCTCAAGTGGTAGAGTACCAGCCTTCAGTGAATGAAGCTAAGGGACAGGATGGCCCGGGGCCTGAGTTCAAGCCTCAGTAGTGGCACCAAAACAAACAAATGAACATCCCCGCCATCCTTGGCCTTGGCTCCTCCGTTGTCTCTGCTACCTGTTGGGCTTCGAGTTTTTTTCTGTCTGATTTGCAGAGCTGTCCGTGTCTTTCATTTTCTTGGTTGGAGCTCGGGCTTGGGTCTTTCTGGGTTCAGGATGTGGAATGAGCACCTGGTAAGCCCCTCACATCCTGTCTCCTTGGATTTTAAAAATCTACCTGTTGGGAAATACCTGTAGGTTTCTGATTTCCCAGAGGCCGAGCTGTGGAAGTTGACATTTGGAGTTTTGTCTGGGGCTAGGCTGGCTTCTCTCTCTTCTGCCCCTTTCATACAGCTTACATAATCTCTTCTGATCCTTCACACGATACCATCTAGAACATTCTCTCAATTCCCCTTATCTCTCTACAGAAGGTGTGGAGCCCGCTGTTCCCTGGTGTTCACTGTGCGGCGGCAGCATTGTGCGGTATCAGAACGGCTCTGCTCTTGCTCTTTGACCTCTGTACTTGGTTTAAGCTTTTGCGAGCCTCTGTCACATCTTCTGGGTCCAAACTGCACACTCAGCTGACATGACAGATGCTTCTGGAATTGTGTTGGTGCATTGCCAGCTGGGTCAGGGGTCAGAGTTCACGCTCTGGGTCGGCCCTCCCACATCACATTCCCCGCCTCACTCGCACGTGTGCGTGTATATGTGTGTTGCAGCTGCAGATCCCGAGTGTGAAGGGCTTCGATTTTGCTAAGCAGCATCTGGGCCAGCATAATAAAGATGACATCCTGATTATTCACGAGCCCGCGCCGCTGCCAGGACCAGTGAAGGAGCACACCACACCCTCTGAGAACGGAGACGTGCCCAGCCCCAAGGCCAGGATCCCCGCCAAGAACGCCCGCCACAGAGGAAGGTTGTTATCATGCTTTCTGGATTGTTCTGTCACAGTGGATGGTTGTTTTCAGGTGGTCAGTTTCGGTAGCAGAAGGACTGGTACCGCCCTGGGCGAACAGCCGGGGAGACTTGCACGAGCCCAAGTCACACAGGGCCAGCAGTGTCTCTAGGAGCAGCTTCTCCCCAAGTCCTGGAGATGAGTCACCAGGTCTGTGAGGGCACCTGGACGAGGGACTGACCAGCTCCAGCGTGCGTGTTCCGGCGTTACAAGAATTCTACATCCTCCGAAGTGCATGGCCCAGAGTATGCATCGTGTGTATAGTGAGCACAGGATGCATAGTTTGCATAGTGTGCCTAGTTCATTTAGAACATAGTATGCACACTTTGCATAGCATACGGAATCACATAGAACGCTACTTCACATAGTACGCACAGTGCGCATAGTACACGCAGTATGCTCTCTGCCAGCATTGGCTGCGGTGCCTCTGCTTGTTAAGCCAGCCGCTGGCGCTTGCTTGCTTTGTCGGCAGGCACCTTCGTGGAATCCCTCTTTGCTCCTCTTTCCCAGCTGTCCCGGCCGTCTCCTTTGTGGGCACATTGTATGGGACTTAGTGCCGCCGCCTCCTGGCCCACTCCTCATTCCCAATTGATTTCCAATCCTTCAGATTAAACGGGAGCACCAGTAGACTTGCATATTAATTTTCTGAGCTGCCAGGAAGTCCCTTGATGCCCTTCTCCCATGAGAAGAGCTAGTTCGGAGTTAAAGATGACAAACTCGGACTCGTGGTGCCCTAAAGCTTCAGCTCATCAGACTTACTTTGAGCACTGCAACTCTGAACTCCAGAGTTTTCCACTAGGAGTGGAAAAAAGTGTGTGGCCACGCCATTATCCAAACCGGTGTCATCATTTCTGTCTTATCAGAAAATTCACCCCAGGGGTCTGGCCTAGTTTTAAGGATTTAATATTAAAGCATGATGTTTATGAAAGAAAATCAATTATATGGAGAGATGCTCTTTGCGTAATTATTTTACTGGCTAAGAGTAAATTAAATCAATGTGGATGATTTGATATGCTAGTATAATTTTGTAAAGTGGTTTTTTTTTTTTGTAGCATCATCTCAAACATCTAGTTGTATCATGTTGCTGATCTTTGTAGTGTATACCGTTTCAAATACTGTGGATCAGAAATGCTCAGGAAAAAATTACATCTCAAAAATATGTACAGATTTTTTTTGTCATTCTCAAAACAAGACTATTACATATATGACTATATATATGTATATTTACATTATATCAAGTATTACAAATAACCTAGACCTGGGCACTGGTGGCTCATACCAACTACTGAGGTCTGGGGATTGAGGTTTGAAGCCACCTCTGGGCAAGAAAATCTGTGAGACTCTTATCTCCTAAGTAACCACCAAAAATCTGGAAATGGAGCTGTGGTTCAAGTGGTAGAGCACCAGCTGTGAGCAGAAAAGCTCAGGGATAGCACCCAAGCCCTGAATTCAAGCCTCAGGATTGGCACCAAAAACAAACCAAAAACAAAAACACATTTAAAGTATCCAGAAAGATGGTAATAGGATGTCTGACATTCCACATTTCTGTAGAAGCCAGGGAACCCAAAGAGGTGAGGTGTAGTTTTCTTAGCCTGATAAACCCAGGTGCCGGGCTCACCCTTGTGACACAAGATGAAGCCGGGTGCAGTGGCTCAAGTCTGTAATCCTAGGCACTTGGGAGGCAGAGATTGGAGGAGGAGGATATACGAGATCAGCCTAGACAAAAAGTAGTTCTCGAGACCCCCATCTCAACCAGTGGCTCAGTAGCACATCCCTGTAATCCCAAGCTGGCTACCATTTCTACCTAAGAAGCTTGACTTGCAAATGATTGTAACCTTCCCACTCTTTCTTGCTCCTCTAATGGTTGCGATTTGTCTGTGTCTGCAGAGTCTCCCCCTCAGATGTGGACTCGACGGTCAGCGAGGAGTCGAGTGAAAGGGACGTGGGGGACAAGACGCCAGCCGTGGCCCCCGAGGGCAAGGCCCACCGAGCCCCACAGAGCGGTCTGTGACTCTCCCGGTTCAGTCATGAGATTGAATCTACTAGGGGGCTGGGAAGGTGGCTCAGTGGTAGAGCGCTTGCCTTGCATGCCTGAGGCCCTGGGTTCGATTCCTCAGCACCACATAAGCAAAAAGAAAAAAGCCGGAAGTGGTGCTGTGGCTCAAGTGGTAGAGCACCAGCCTTGAGCAAAAGAAGCTCAGGGACAATGCCCAGGACCTGAGTTTAAGCCCCAGGACAGGCAAAAAAAAAAAAAAAAAAAATCTACTAAAAGGCTGGGATGTAGCTTAGTGGCAAAGCACCTGCTTAGATGGAACATGTCCTGTGTTGTATCCCCAGTACCCAAAAAGAAAAGACAAGAAAAAAATACAGTCAAAAAAAAAACAAACAGGGGCTGGGGAAGGTGGCTCAGTGGTAGAGTGCTTGCCTTGCATGCCTGAGACCCTGGGTTCGATTCCTCAGCACCACATAAGAAAAAAGCCGGAAGTGGCCCTGTGGCTCAAATGGTAGAGTGCTAGCCTTGAGCTGAAGAGCTGAGGGACAGCGCCCAGACCCAGAGTTCAGGCCCCACGACCGGACCCCAAAAAAAAAAAAAAACCAAACAACCCAGCCGGGCGCCAGTGGCTCACACCTAGCTACTCAGGAGGCTAAGATCTGAGGATCACAGTTCAAAGCCAGCCTGGGCAGGAAAGTCCATGCAATCCTTATCTCCAATAAACCACCAGAAAACAGGAAGTGGCGTTGTAAACAGGAAGTAGCTCAAGTGGTAGAGCACTAGTAGCTCAAGTGGTAGAGCACTAGTCTGGAGCTGAAGAGCTGAGGGACAGCGTTCATGCCCAGAGTTCAAGCCCCACAACCGACAAAAAAAACCAAAAAAACCCAAAAAACAATCTACTAAATGGCCAGGTGCCAGTGGCTCATGCCTGCAATACTAGCTATTCAGGAGGCAGAGATCTGAGGATCATGGTTCAAAGCCAGCCCAGGCAGGAAAGCCCATGAGATGCTTATCTCTAATTCACTACCAGAAAACTGGAAGTGGAGCTATGGCTTAAAGTGGTAGAGAGCTAGCCTTGAGCAAAAAGAGCTCAGGCCCCTGAGTTCAAGTCCCATGACTTGACCAAAAAAAAAAAAAAAAAAATGTGTGTGTGTGTGTGTGTGTGTGTGTGTATATATACATATTTTTTTTTCTAAATGGAGTAGCTGTCTCATGCTGAACTTCTCAGCATTGATTGTCACCTTCAGACTTTATACTGGTGTCTTCTTCAAGACTTCTGTGGCAGAGACGAGGGGTTCACAGAGGTACATCTTTATTCTGATTTAGGGTCCAAATAATATTCCTTCCAGAAGGACAAAAGAAATGAAACAAAAACTCCAGGCCTAAAAACAGCCTGTTGGATCTAGCGATTCTCTTGGGGATCAATTGCAGATGTCCCTGCTGGTGCTGTGGCAGGTGGTGGGGTCATCCCGCATCCATCATCCTTTTCTAACCGGTAGCTGTAGGTTCATGGCCATCCCTCATTTGCTTTAGCATCCTTGCCTTGGGAGGTAAGTAGGTCTCAGATGAACTTTGTTCCCCATCCTAAGGGAATCACTGACAGACGTAGGCCCTAGAAGCAAGCCACGCCCACAGGCCCGCCTCTCCTAGGGAGCCATTTCTGGATGGATGCCAGGGTAGCATGGTTTTAGTGTAATAGGTTCTATTAAGTAAATGTGCCCATTCAGCTATTGTATTGAGTAGAGCTTTATTTATATCTTAGGATTGTGTTTCAGGAATGCAAAGATAAGGGAAACCTCAGCATGTTGTTTTTAATAGTAATTTTTATACTCGACATTGTTGATCGTAAATTTGTCTGTATGAAATTTCACTGAGTGAACTGTATTGTATGAGAAAAGAGATTCTGGGCTGAAGCTTAGACCTACATGTGGCCTTTGGGGTTCTTGGGGCACGAGGCCTGCACACCCTTTTATAATCTGAAGGAAAAGCCTTTCAGACAAAGGCAAGAGCTTTTGCTCAGGATCTGCTTTCACAGAGTCATAAAACGTAGTAGCAGGTGTGGTGCTTCAGAGAGACAGGATTAAAGTCCAGGTTTCATCCAGGGAAGAAATACTCGGGGGAAAGAAAAAGAGCTGTGGATTTTCGTTTCTGTTCATTGTTCAGTTGAGAAACATCTTGGAGTGCCTACCTTTCCCTTCTTCTGACTTCCATACCAGTGTGAGCAAAAGTCAAAGACTTCTCTTGGAGAATGTTCAGAGTTTGGTGGCTCACATTGGAATCTTGCTCAGAAAGCTGAGATCTGAGGATCATGGTTTAAAGCCACCCCCCTGGCAGACAAATCTGTAAGACTCTTATCTTCAGTTAACTGAGCTGGAAGTGGGAAGGTGCCTTTAGTGGTAGAGTGCCAGCTAAGGACGGGGGTGAGTTCAGAACTCTGCAAGCTCTCTTCATGATAGCACAAGTTCACAGAGGCTAGAAATGCTTCTGAAAGTTCTGTCAGTTGTCTCTTGACCAGCTGAGCAGCTTGAGCTTCTGCTGTCCCCTTATATCCTAAAGATTTGAATTGTATTTAGACAAAACTAGGCAGCTGTTGACACAGTGAATAGCCTAATGACTTTTTCACATCTTTCCTTAAAAAATTTTTTTCTTTTGGTTGTGGGGCTTGAACTCAGCCTGGGCACTGTCCCTCAGCTCTTCAGCTCAAGGCTAGCACTCTACCACTTGAGCCATTGCGACACTCGGTTTTCTGAGTGGTTTATTGGAGATGAGTCTCCTGGACTTTCCTGACCGGGCTGGCTTTGAACTGCGATCCTCAGATCTCGGCCTCCTGAGTAGCTAGGATTACAGGTGTGAGCCACTGGTGCCCAGCTAAGTGTTTGTCTTTTTTGTTGTTGTTGGTGGTGGTGGTGATGGTCATGGTCATGGGGCTTGAACAGAGCTTAAGCACTGCCCCTGAGCTATTCTTCTCAAGGCTAGTGCTCTACTACTTTGAACCACAGCGCCACTTCTGGTTTTCTGGTGGTTAATTGGAGATAAGAGTCCCACAGACTCTTCTGCCCAGTCTGGTTTTGAACCACAATCCTCAGATCTCAGCCTCCTGAGTAGCTAGGATTACAGGAGTGAGCCACCGGAACCTGGTTGTGTTTATCATTTTTAGTGACACTGGAAGAGACAGCGTTAGACAGAGACGTTTCCAGTGCTCTGCCCCCAGTGTGGGGCCATAGCCTTTTGGGCCTTAGCATTGCCCCTGCTGTTTCTTTAAGTGACTTTATCCCTTGCTTTTCTCTCCAGCACCCCCGCTTCCCAGTTCAGGGACTGAGCAGCACTCCTCCGCTTCTATCTTTGAGCATGTGGACAGGCTCTCGCGCTCGTCTGAGGCCAGCCGGCGGGTCCCCAGTAAGGTGCAGCTGATTGCCATGCAGCCCATCCCGGTGCCCCCTGCCCAGAACCCCGTGCTGGCCAGCCGAGTGGCTGAGACCAACAAGATCAACAAGGAGGTATGTGTTCTAATTCAAATACACCTCAGCAAGCCCAACCACGCTGGTGGCTCACGCCTGTAATCTAGCTAAAGAGGCTGAGGTCTGAGGATCACGGTTCAAATCCAGCCCTTGTAGACAAATAGGAGAGACTCTTATCTCCAGCAAAAAGCTGGAATTGGAGGTATAGCAGAAGTGGTAGAGTGCCAGCTTTGAGTGAAAAAGCTAAGGGACAGCACCCAGGTCCTGATTTAAAGTCCCAGAGCAGATTAAAAAAACCCCACAAAACACCAAAACCCACATTAGCAATAATAACTATTATATTAATAAAAACCTCACATTCTGGTTTAGTCAGCGCTTCAAAGTGAACAAAAGGTACACTGTCAAATAAGTATGCTTGGTTTAAAACACTCAGCACCAATGGATTACTCCTATAATCCTAGCTATTCAGGAGGCTCAGCTCTAAGGATCGCAGCTCAAAGGAGTTGGGACAGAAAGTCCGTGAGACTCATTATCTTTAGTTAACCAGCAAAAACTGGAAGTGGAAGCATGGCTCCAGTGGTAGAACACCAACCCTGAGCAAAAATAAGCCAAGCAAGAATGCAAGGGCCTGAGTTCAAGCATCCCAAAACAAAAATGACTCTCTTTATTTTTTAAGATCAGACACTGCCAGGAAATGGAAACAAGAGGCTCTTTTTTGCTATTTTTGTTTTCCTTTTGTCTTGTTTATCTGTAATTGAGTGTAAGGAGAGGCGCTGAAATGGACAAAGGGTGAGCAAATGTAGCAGTGGTACTCATTAGACACTATGTTGAAAATGAACTATACCAGCTGGGAACATCGCTTAGTGGTAGAGTGTTTGCCTTGTATGCATGAAGCCCTGGGTTCAGTTCCTTAGTACCGCATCAAAAGAAAAATCCAGAAGTGGTGCTGTGGTTTAAGTTGTAGAGTGCTAGCCTTGAGCAAAAGAATCTCAGGAACAATGCCCAGGCCCTGAGTTCAAGTCCCAGGACTGGTAAAAACAAAAACAAAACTATACCACTTGTGAGTGAGAAAAACTGGGAAAGAGTGAAGGGGTGATATCCAAAGAGAAATGTGCTCTTTTCCTGATTTATGTAACTGTAACCTGTACATCCCGCACATTATTATAACAATTGAAAAAGCTGAAAAGCAAGGAAGATAAGACACTGGACAAGCGCGATTAGACACTGTGGAGAGGGCCTCATGCAGTCACCTGAAGCCTGGGAAAGCCCTGCCCGGGCGCTGCTCAGCTCCCTTGGGCCTCAGGTCCACCCTGCGTGGCCGTGGTCTCCACCTTTTGGGGGTGGAGAGGAAAGGGGTGCAGCCAGACTCTGGGAAGCTGCCTCCCTAAGCCAGGTAATCACGTATCTGCTTTAGCGCAGATGCCTTCTTTGCATGTGAGGATGTATTGCACCTGGCTTCCACTTTGTCAAGGGTCACTGTCCAAGGCTTGAGTGTCTCTTGGGCGGGACAGAGAAAACCAGCCCCTCCTGGGGACCAATTGGGATGGCTGGCACCCTGCGCCCCTTGGTAAAATAGGCTGTCATAGGTTCCTGGCTAGATAAAGTCAAGGCCCATGAGCCAGCTTAAAGAAGTTACAGAAGAAATTTAGGGCGGGGGCTGTCCCTGCCCAGTCACTCCAGTTGGGCATCCCGGAGCCCCCAGATAGCACGTCCAGGTTATGGGGGAGAGGAAGCGGTCCATAAAAGGCTTGGCCAAGGAGGGGTCCAGAAACAGAAGAATACTCTGTTTTCCCCCACCTCCCCTCAGATTCAGACAGCGCTGCGGCACAAGTCCGAGATTGAGCATCACCGCAACAAGATCCGGCTGCGTGCCAAGAGGCGCGGCCACTACGAGTTCCCGGTGGTGGACGACCTGTCCTCGGGGGACACGAAGGAGCGGCACCGCGTGTACCGCCGCGCGCAGATGCAGATCGACAAGATCCTGGACCCTACGGCCAGCGTGCCCTCGGTGTTCATCGAGCCCCGGAAGAGGTGGGCCGGGCCGGGCCGGGCCGGGCCGGGCCGGGCCAGGGGCAGGGACTGCCAGGCAGCTCCGTGCCCAGCCCGGGGTCTCCCTGGGGGGCGGGGCCTCCCTGAGAGGCGGGGCCTGCATGGGGGCGGGGCCTCCTTCCCCTGTCTCCCTGGGGGGTGGGGTCTTCCTGGGAGGCGGCCCCCCCCCCCGCCCCCCCCCCCCCCCCGTGTCTCGGAGGCGGGGGACCCTGCCCACCGCCCCGTTTGCCCCAGGGGATGGCCCCGCCGGGCTCGGGTGGGGAGGTGGCGCGGAGACTTCCTTCCTGGGGAGACCGTTTCCAATGTCGCCCGGCAGCTCGCGGATAAAGCGGTCACCCAAGCCGCGCCGGAAACACCAGGTGAACGGGTGCCCCGCCGACGCGGAGAAGGACCGGCTCATCACCACCGACAGCGACGGCACCTACCGCCGGCCGCCCGGGGTGCACAACTCGGCCTACCTGGGCTGCCCGGTGCGCACGCGCGACCTGTGGGAAGGGGCGTGGGCGGGGCTACGGAGTGGGCGGGGCCTTGAGGAGGAGGGGCGTGGCGATGGGGGGTGCCTGGGGCGGGGCGGGGACACCGGCAGCCCCGCTGAGGGTTGATGGATCTGGAAATGCTCCCCGTTTTTCCTTCTGCCTGCATGCAAGCCCTGTCCTCAGGCTTTATTATTAATTGATTGATTAAGCGAGCAAGCTGGTACTGGGGCGTGAAGTCAAGGCCTCTGCGCACTCTCTTGGCTTGTTTTTGTTTTTGATTTTGCTCAAGGCTTGGGCTCTCCCATTTGAGCCACACCTTCCCTTCTGGCTTTTTTGCTGCTTCAGTGGAGTCCCGTGAACTTTTCTACCCAGGCTGTCATCAGACTTTCTTCGATCTCAGTGTCCTGAGTAGCTAGGAATTACAGCTACCAGTACCTGGCTCTTCAGACTTGAAGTATATTGAATCTATCTATCCACCCTCTTCATATATATGAGAGAGAGGGGGGTATAGGTTTTTTTTCTCCCCACTGGTCAGATGAATGAGGAGTTAGGGTTTTCTTTCCCCTTCTTGCCCCCAGATAATCTGCTCAGCTCAGTATCCCCTAACTGATGTGTTTTGGATGTGAAAAGCATCAGATTTGGGATGTTTTGAATCTAAGGAAGTTCATCTAGTTCACTCACGCCTATAATCCTAGCCAAGTCTGAGGCTGAGATCTGAGGATCAAGGTTCAAAGCCAGCCTGGGCAGATAAATCCAAGCGACTCTTCAAATAAACAGCAAAAAGATGGAAATGGATATGTGGCTTAAGTGGTAGAGTAACAGCCTTGAGCAAAAAAGCAAAAAGCTAATCAAGTGCTCAAGTCCCTGAGTTCAAGCCTCAGTACGAACACACACACACACACACAGAGGAAAGAAAAACGGACTGTGACCTTTGTAACCCACTCACAAGAACTGGTAGGTGGTAGGACCCTGGCCTGAATTAGAGCCAATAAAAAGGGGTGGCTTCAATCACTTTCTGAATGCTGAGCTCCTGGGATGGAGGAGCCCTGGCTGCACTTCCCGCAGTAGATGGCGCTCTTGAGCTGTGATGGCTTTCCAGACAGTTCTCAAGATAGTCACCTGCTGCTTTTGTCTGTGTGCAACAGGGGCCTGAGGTGTAGAACTAATTAATAGAAGCATCTGGAACATTCCTTCCTGATCCAGTTCCATAACCAGCCTGGGCTCCTCCTCCCACAGAGAGCCTTCATTCCTGGAGTTTCCACCCATAGTGTTTGCTGTTGAGTGTCCTGTGGAGAATGACCTACCTTCTCTGGCTGTCCACCTTTGGCCTCATGGACCACCCCATGTCCTCTTGGGGATCCAGATGCTCCTTTTTCATTTTTCTTATGGGGGGGGGGATGTAGTTTTGTTGCATTGCCCAGGCTGATCTCAAACTTGGACTCAAACAATCTTCCTGTTAGGTTCCTGAGTAGATGGGACTAAAGGCATGTACCACTGCACCTGGCTTGGGTTATCCTTTTTTCCCCCCCAGAAAATACAGAATTGGAAAGGACCTTTTCCCTGGAGACCATCAGGGGACTGACGGTCTCTGTGACTTCTTTTCAAAAGATTCCTTTGCTATGAGGAAAATCTTCCTTGTGTAGACTTTACCTCTCCCTCTTCCTCCCCCTCCCTTACCTTTCCCACTTCTCTCCCTGCCCTTACCTCCTTCCTTCCTTCTCTCCATATTTCCTATTTCATATTCAGGAAATGTGAGAAGGAATTGAGTACCAAGTAAAGAAAAGAAAAAAAGCCAAGCCCAGACGAGAATGGCACAAGGAGTTTTGGCCTCCAATCTTCTCACCTGCTCTAACCTTACAAGAGGCTTCTGCTTTTTCTCCCCTAAAAACAAGAATGCCTTTCTCTGAACTGACTGCTTTTTAGGGAGCCTGCGTGTGGTCCAGGGTTTTGCATCGTGGTGAAGTTTCTACTTTTCCTTCGGTGACCTTGTCCTTGAGAGCCCTTGTGCTCCTATGCCAGACACATCTCCTCCGCCTCCTGACTGGAGTTAGTGTTCTAGCCCTGGCCGGCAGTCTGGGCCCTCTGGCTGCAGCCAGCCAGTTATCTGTTTGGGTAAACACAGGAAAGTTTTTGCAAGACAGCCACTCCTGTGGGTAGCATATTTGTCTTCACTGCCTTTGCAGACAGAGTTGAGGGTTTGGAGGACTCGTGAGACTGAAACTATTTACTGTCAAGCTCTTTGGTTTGCAGAAGCAGTGTGGCGCTTCCGTAGTTCAAGCTACTTGGGAGGCTGAGATAGGAGAATCCCCTGAGCCCATGAGTTCGGGGCCAGACCTGGAAACACTGAGTCTATTCAGTTGGGGCAGCAGGCATAAATGAGGACAAATCAGGACACTTCCTTAGAATAGTCCACCAAACATTGCAAAATAGGTCCAAAATCGGCATAATCCTTCATATTTAATAGTTCCTTATTCTCTTACTCAGCTATTTTGCTCAAGGCTGGGTCTCTACCATGTAAACATACCTCTCCTTAAGGCTTTTTGCTGGTTAATTCAATATAAGAATCTCTCGGCCGGCCAGCCGCTAGTGGCTCATGCCTGTAATCCTAGCTACTCAGGAGGCTGCCATCTCAGGATTGTGTTTCAAAGCCAGCTTGGACAGGAAAGTCCTTGAGACTCTAATCTCCAGTTAACCACCAGAAAACTGGAAGTGATGCTGTGGCTCAAGTGGTAGAGTGCTAGCTTTTTAGCTCAAGGACAGCGCCCAAGCCTGACTGACTGACTGACGAAATAAATAAGAATCTGACAGTGATTAATCCTCCACCTTCCGTGGACACACACACACCTTCGTCTGTGGGAAGCAGTTTCCAGACAGCTGGCCACGACAGAGAAGGCCGTGTGTAGGGAACAGACATTTTCTTTGTGATGAACGCACTGATCTGGACAGGTGTGGGGATGTGGGAATGTCTTCCTTGCCGCCTCTGAGCCAGCAGAGCTGGTGTGGGCCACTGGCGAGCAAAGCATTCGGGGGAGAAGGAGGCCCCAGAGCTCCTTGTCACATTTACATCTCTCATAACCATGACAGACCCCCCCAAAACGATATTGTGTTCATCAGTTTTGGGTCATTATAACAAAATGCCTGACATTATCCACTTAGGAAAAGGGAAAGTTTTATGTTGGCTCTCAGCGTTAGAGGATCCATTCCAGGGCTGTGCAGCCCTTTGCATTGGGCCTATGGTGAGGCCGCAAAATTGGGCGCAGGTGGCTCACACAGGTAATCCTAGCAACTCAGGAGGCTGAGATCTTAGGATCACGGTTCAAAGCCAGCCTGGGCAGGAAGCCCTAAATACCAGAAAGCCAAAAGCAGAGCTGTGGCTTCAGTGGTAGAGTGTTAGCCTTGAGCACAAAACCTCAGGGACAGTGCCCAGGTCCTGAGTTCAAGCCCTAGGATGGACACTAGATAGATAGATAGATGGATGGACACTAGATAGATAGATAGATAGATAGATAGATAGATAGATAGATAGATGATAGATAAATAAAGAGGAAGACCTGAGTCCCACAGTCCTTGGCGCTTTCCAAGATCCAAACTGTAGGAGACTATTTTTCTACTGTTGCCCATTTTGTCTCTTACAATTTACCCAGTGTATATTATGGCAGCAGTTTATTTGGAACTCAGTGTCAGGAAGTAAGCTTTTAAAGAAAAACTTCCCACTGCTGTTTATATTCCTGTTTTAATGCAATATAATGTATACCTTTATTAATGAATCATGTTATCCAGAGATTATTTTAAAGACAAATGGTGGGCTAAGGGTATGGATTAAGTAGTAGAGCACTTGCTTGACCAAGCATCAGGTTTTGAGTTCAAATCCCAGTACCACACAAAAAAATCAAAACAACCCAACTGTTTTTAATAAATAATTGTCACTCTCTGTTTAAATAGTTGTTGTAGTAGGGTTATAAATATTTATACACACATACGTTTAGGCTGGTGGTGACGTTGAAGGTTTTTTGAATATGTAGGGATTTTTTTTCATTTGAGTACTAGAACTCAAGAGTTCTCACCCAGCCTTTTTATCCCTCAAGGCTGGTGCTCTACCACTTGAACCATATCTCCACTTCTGGCTTTTTGATGGTTAACTGGACATAAGAATCTCTTGGGTTTGTTCAAGAGACTGGCTATCTTCAAATTGTGATCCTCAGACCGTAGCCTCCTGAGTTGATATGATTACAAGTGTGATCCATATGCACCTGGTCTTTTTTTTTCTTCTTAATACTCAAGACTGCTATATGTCTTAGTTTTCATACATAATGGCAATGTGACCGGGCATTTTGAGTATATTCCCTTTGATACATAATCTTAGCTACTTAGGCTTTCAGTGAAAACAACATATTTGAAGTACATTTCAGAATGTTGAGGTTTGCAGGGAAAAAAGGATGAATACTCCCACCTTTTTGTTTTCTGTTTCAAGCCTTTATCACCTATAAAATGGAATATATATTCTGTAAGTGTGGTTTTTTAATTCTTTTTTTTTTTTTTTTTTTTTTGTCAGTCGTGGGCCTGAACTCTGGGCCTGGACGCTCTCCCTCAGCTCTTCAGCTCAAGGCTAGCACTCTTACCACTTGAGCCACAGCATCACTTCTGGTTTTTTCTGCTTATGTGGTGCTGAGGAATTGAACCCAGGGCCTCATACTTGCAAGGCAAGCACTCTACCATTGAGCCACCTTCCCAGCCCTGGTTTTTAAATTCTTATCATAAATCCTTTCCTAAGTGGCAAAACGATTGCATTTCAAAGCCAACTCAGGCAGAAAAGGCCGTGAGACTCTTTATGGCCAATTGGCCAGCAAAAAGCCAGAAGTGGAGCTGAGGCTCAAGTGGCAGAGTGCTAGCCTTGGGTAAAAATGGGAAAGGACAGTGCCCAGGTCCTGAATTCGATACCCAGTATCTGCACACGTGTGCATGCGTGCGTACACACAATTTATTAAATTCCATTTGGGCCATAGAATTTTGTTTCGGAGTCTCCCCAAAGCTCTGCCTGATTCCTTCCTCTGCCCTCCTGCCCTTGCAGTCTGATCCTGACCTCCCAGCCGAGGTGCAGACGCCATCATCCACCGAGCTGGGCAGGTATCCGGGCCTGCCCTTCCCGGCCTCGCAGTACATCCCGCCACAGCCGTCCATTGAGGAGGCCCGCCAGACCATGCACTCCCTCCTGGACGACGCCTTCGCCCTCGTGGCCCCCAGTAGCCAGCCTGCCAACGCCGCGGGCCCGGGCCCAGGGGCCCCAGCCGGCCTGCCAGTCAGCAACACCCCTTCCCGGGAAGAAAGGCGAGCCGCCCAATGGGGATCCTTCTACAGCCCAGCCCAGACAGCCAACAATCCCTGCAGCGTAAGTACTGGCTTTCTAGAATTCTCTCCTGGCCACGATGTTGGAGTTTTGTTGTCTGTGTTTCTGTAGACTCTGGTTACATTTACATTTGATAAAAAGTAAAGGTTGAGATGAAAACCGGTGGCCTCACAACCTATAATCCTAGCTACTTGGGAGGCTGAGATTTAGAGGATCGTGGTTCAAAGCCAGGCTAGCCAGAAAAGTCTGGGAGACTCCACCGCCAAAATAACCAACAAGAACCGGAGCTGGGAGTCATGGCTCCAGAATGAAAGCACCCTGCTACTAGCAATAAATAAATAAATAAATGTCAATCAGTCTTGGATAGTAGGTTTTAGGTGGGGTTTTTTTCAGTTTTTTATTTTATCACATTCCTCTAAGTTCATTCTTTATTCTGGAAGTTTCCATCACTCTTGTGTTCTATGGGAAATGCAGGGAGCGCCTTTCTAGCTTCACCATGATGTCATGAAGTGGAGATGGTTTAATGGTCACCACATAGACTCACTGATGTCCCCTAAAAGGAACAGTTTAGAAAAGGCCCAAATTACTTAACCTCTTGTGTGGCCACCTGGGCACAGAGAGGTAATGGAGGCGCAGAGAGGTAATGGAGACTCGGGCACTCCTGGCAGCCAGGCTCCTAGCTGGCAAGGACATCTGTTTGCGAGTGCCGGCTTCCCATCTCCAGCTGACATTGCAGGATTTCATCTAGCTTCACATTCCTGTATTTAGTTCATTCTTTCAAATTCTCCTTAACACACAGGACAAGTCGAATGGAAGGAAGCTGCACTCATTCTGTTTTCTGTCCGTTTCAAATGAAATGATTGGGGTAAAAGGGGGTGTGACCTGTTGACTGGAGGGAGAAGTTAATAGGTCACAATTTAAATTATTAGCTGGTGAGTTCATGCTAAGTTCCTCTGATATTTATTGTTACCCTTCTTAAGGTGGACTTGGGTGGCAATACGTATATATTAAAAGGATTTTGAGCCAAGTGCTGGTCGCTCATGCCTGTAATCCTAGCTACTGGGAAGGCTGCGATCTGAGGATCACAGTTCAAAGCCAGTGGTGGCAAAATCCAAGAGACTCTAATCTCCAGTTAGCCAGCAAAAAAGCCAGATGTGGAAATGTGGCTTGAGTAGTAAACTTCCACCCTGGAGCAAAAAAAAAAAAAGAAAAAGAAAAGTATTTGTGAGGGTTCTACCATGCTGCCCTCTGTCTGTGAGCTGCTCTACATGCTGCCGCCCTCTCCCTAGGATGGATTGAGACCTCTGAAACTGGTGAAGGCCTTATGACTGATCACTAAATGTGCCTTTAGCGCATTCAGCCTTTTGGTTTTTATTAGAAGGAAGATGACCGTCTACTTGAAAGCCCCTGGAGCACAGCCCGTCAGAGAAATGCCTGGGTGGTTGTGCATTTGCCAAGATGGTTGATGGTTGTCCCTGGGCCTGTGCTGGCCAGCAGCCCTGCAGCTTTGTACAACAGCAGCTGCTCAACAGCTACACCCTCACCCCTGGGAGTTGAGGAAAAGCTGCTTCCACACGCATGGCCGGGAAGCATGCCCATTCCTGGCCCATTGGATTCGCCCGCTGGGCCTATAGCCTTACAAGCACGGCCGGTTGTTGCTCTTTGACCCTTTTTGGAAATCCAGTTTCCTATGTTTAGAAAGTTCACTCTTGTGTGTTGAACAATCTGGTGATAATTTTCTGTATTAGTTTGAAGGTGGATTAAAATTAAGAGGAAGGACTGTACCATCCCTGGGGCTTGAACTCAGGACTTCACATTCTCCCAGATCTTTTTTTTGCTCAAAGCTAGCACTCTAACACTTGAGCCACAACTCCACTTCTGGCTTTTTGGTGGTTAATTGGAGATAAGAGTCTCAGGGCCTTTCCTGCCTAGGCTGCCTTTGAATCTTAGATTTCAGCCTACTAAGTAGCTAGAACTACAGGTGTGAGTCACTGGTGGTTGGCTAAAAAAGGAAAAATTTTAATCTCTGAAATGGGTTTGGATTTTCTCTTTTCTTTTCCAGTCCTGGGATTTGAACTCAGGACCTGGCCACTGTCCCTGAGCTTCTTTTGTTCAAGGATAGCACTCTACCACTTGAGCCATAGTAGCACTTTCAGCTTTTTCTGCTTATGAGGTACTGAGGAATCAAACCCAGGGCTAGGAAAGCATTCTACCACTGAGCCACATTCCCAGCCCTTCCTCAGCCCCTTTTTTTTTTTGTCAACGTTTATAGACTTTTTTGGTCTGGGCTGGCTTCAAGATTCCATCCTCTAGATCTCTGCCTCTTAAGTAGCTAGAATTACAGGCATGATCTTGAAATACCTATTGTGCAGAATGAGAGAAATCAGATTAGGGTCACATGGGATAATTTCTTACCATAAAAGTCCTTGTTGAGGTAGACAGTCATGAAATGATAGTGGCACAAGTTAGAAGTCTGGTGTTGGTGATCAGCCTTCAGACACCCAGATGTAGACAGACCACGAGGAGACTGGCAGTGGGGTTGATCCAGGACTCGGGCTCCTGGCAGCTGTGAAATAACATGTGGCAGGTGGTGTGATGCAGGATGCAGCTGAAACGATGGACCACACACTGACAAGGAAAGAGAGGAAACGGGTGGGGGAAGTGCTCACTCCTCCAGAGTCCTGAGTTCCTTTCCTCTCTCCACCAAATAAGGAATTAGGAGGCCAGAAAAGTGGAAGCAGAGGTAAAATTTGTTTGAAAGCTGAAAGTGAGAGTAAGCTGCCAAAGATGTGAAGAGCAGATTGTTAGATGCACCCAAGCAAGGAGGAATGGAGAACATGCCGGCAAAGAAGGGGTCCAGAACTTGGTAGCCTGTTGTAGTGTGGGGGTCTCCCTTTTAGATCTGTCTTGAACAAGTGTCAGCTGTTCTGTAGCTGGATTGCTGTTCTCCTCACCCCAAAGGGAGGGGCACTTGTCCCCTGTGTGATTGTCTTTGCTAGGGCCACTATCTCTGCCTTCCAGGGCCTTCAAGAAGGGGCTTTGTCTCCATGAGGAGACAGTATCTTTCCCTATCTTCCTAGTTTTCTTCTCTAACTTGCCCTCAGGGTCACTTAACCATACTGGACTAGTGGATGCTTTTCTTCCCTGATGTGTTAGACTAGTTACAGCCATCACTGTCTCTCATCAAAATTCATGCCACAGCTCCAGTTGCCTCTTGATTCTGGGCTGGAATGTGAGGTAGCAGGGATTGACCATTCTGGAGCCTGGCATAGTTGGGTGGCTGACAGATAAAATGCAGCTTCTAGGCGCAGAATAGGCCAGTTGCTGAGGAGCTAATGCCTTCTGTCAGCCTCAAGATAACAAACAAACATGGACTGAGCAGCAAGAGCTACAGGAACCTCTCAGCTGGGTTTCTTACTGGGAAAGTTCTTGATTCACTCTCTGATCTGATTGGTCACTATTCTCCAGGCTTTTCCTCCTCCTCCTCCTCCCTTCCCTGCCCCCAGGCTGCCAATCCCCTCCGTCAGCTTCTGTGAATGGGAATGCAAACCTGCACCCTCTGGGGATGGAGTGGGGGCCACATCAAAGGCCACAATCTCACCTTTCCCTTTGCCAGGCTACTTTTCACTTTTTTCTGTGTAGAGCATGATTAAGCTCCGGTATAGTTTGGTTTCTGTTGATATTTAGCATTAATTGACAGACTTCTTCTTTCTTCTTTCTTCTCCTCTTCCTCCTCCTCCCCCTTCCTCCTCCTCCTCCTCTTCTTCTTCTTTTCTTGTTGTTGTTGTTGTGTGCCCGTACTTGAATTCAAACTTAGGGCCTTGCATTCTTGCTTGGCTTTTTTGCTTAAGGCTGAAGCTTTACCACTTGCACCACACTTCCACTTCTAGCTTATTGCTGGTTACTTGGAGGTAAGAGGCTCTCGGATTTTTTGCCTGGGCTGGCTTTGAACAACTTTCATCAGATCTCAGCCTCTTGAGTAACTAGGATTATAGGCCTGAGCCTTGGGTCCTGGCTTACTTACTTGTTCTTTAGTGTTTGGAATTAGGGATTCCACAATAATGCCTTGATCTGCGACTCTCTTGACTATGCCTTCAACCTCAACAAGATTTTTATAAACACAGTTTTCTCCTGTTTTTTTGTCCTGGACTTCTGATGTATTTAGAGGACAATCGTAGCAGTTTAATCCAGTGGAAAACCAGAATCATTGGCTGTGCCACTCCAGGCTATCAGTGGGCATGGATTTTAGCACATTGACACCTTGGTGGTAAAGTTACTGCTTGTTTCCAGGAGGAACCCGGTCACCCGTTATTTGCTGCCTCTGACAACAGTACAAACCACAAGAATGTGGATTTCAAGGTGCCTTCAGTTACCACATGAGCTTTTTATGCTGCATCTTATGACCTTCCATTCCATTTTACCAGCACAGAGGTGCTGAGTGTGCAGTGTCAAGGGCTGGTGGTGTTTCTGCTTCCTGTGTAAATTAAACTCTCCCCAGTAGGCTGGGCAGCTGAGCTGGTTTCTCTACCTCACCCTGCCCCCAGACTCCACAGCCATTTTGACTTGACTTTTGCGCTCTATTGACTTACATTTTGTGTGGAATAAAGGAACGATGCATTTGGCTGGGATTTTTTTTCTTTTAATCAATTTTGTGCCCCAAACTTTTCTATCCATGTGATTCATTTAAAATGAGAGGGTCACAGAAATTGCCAGTGATTTTTTTTTTTTTTTCTAAATATGTCATCTCTTAAAACAAGACAGCCTCTTTCTTACTAAGGTAAGTTGAACTGCCTCACCCTAAATAATCAAACAGATCAAATGTCAACTACCATTTTCTACTGTCTTTGTTGGTTTTTCACTTAAACCTCCTGATGTCCTGACTGGTAAAGTAAGCTTGATTTAAGTGAAACAACAACGGCAAATAGCAAACCTAGACGCTTTACCTATGAATGTTTTAAAGCTCTGAGCTTTGACAGAGAACCCAGGGACACAGTGAATAATCTTTATCCAGTCTCAGGTTTACCTTTAGTCATTTGGAAAAGGAATTGAAGCTGCATTTCCTTCTGTCCCTCCTTTCTTCTATAATCCTTTTTGATTTATTGCACCTAATTTGGTGACTCTGTAAAGTTCTAATCACCTCTATCTGCCAAGATGCTGGCAAGCAGGGTGGGAAGAAGCAGTAATCTGATCACAGTTTATTTTGTTTTGTTTTGATTTTGGTTGTGGAGCTTGAACTCGGAGACTAGGTGCTGTTCCTGAGCCTCTTTGTGCTCAAGGCTAGTGCTCTACTACTTGAGCCACAGCGCCACTTCCTGTTTTTGAGGGGTGAACTGGAGATCAGAGTCTCACAGAGACTTTTCTGCCCAGACTTTTTTTTTTTTATCTCAGCTTTTTATTTTTTTATTTTTTTTTAATTTTATTTTATTGTAAAGCTACTATACAGAGGGTTACAGTTACATGAGTGAGGTAATGAGTACACTTCCTCTTGAACATTGTTACCCCCCTCCATTGTTTTCCCCCTACCATCCCCTCCCTCCTTCCCTTCCCCGAGGTTCTTTTTTTTTTTATTGTGATTAAATGATTACATAATTTCAAAGTCACAAGTTCATTCTAACTTGAACCGCATTCCTCAGATCTCAGCCTCCTGAGTAGCTAGGATTACAGGTGTGAGCCACCGGCACCTGGCTAGTCACAGTTTTCTTTCTTTTTTTCTTTTTTCTTTTTGGGTCCAGTCGTGGGGCCTGAACTCTGGGCGCTGTCCCCCAGCTCTTCAGCTCAAGGCTAGTGCTCTACCACTCTTGAGCCACAGCGCCACTTTCGGCTTTTTTCTTTTTGCTTATGTGGTGCTGAGGAATCGAACCCAGGGCCTCAGGCATGCAAGGCAAGCACTCTTCCACTGAGCCACCTTCCCAGCCCTCACAGTTTTCCATCTAATAATCCTTCAGGATTCTGGGAATCAGAGACCCTTACATCCGGCTTGGCGTCAGGCCCAATGATATTGATCATGGCCAGTCTGCCAGACTCTGAAGCCTCTGCTCTCTTCCCCCTATACACAGTGAAGTAGTGTTTGCCCAATGGGAAAAGTTGGATTGGAGAACCAAGGGCAGTAGGGTGGAATGGGGGCAGAGTCTGCGCTTTGAAGAAACTTAAATGACTGCTATAAGAAGATGATCCAGGCCAGGTGTGGTTGCTCACATGTGTAATCCCAGGAACTAGGATAGTGGATCATGGTTAGAGAGCCTCCATTTTGACTAGTAAAAATTGGATGTGGTGGAGCACACCTGCCATCCCAGCTATGTAGGAAGCATAAACAGGAGGATCAAGGTTCCCAACTCTGTATATGTATGTGTGTATATTTTTAATTATAAGAAAGGAGAGTTTATATCTAGAAGTATTGAATTCAAGTCCTCTTGCTTTTTTGAATTTCTTCCAGAGATATGAAGACTATGGTATGACTCCCCCGTCTGGCCCATTGCCAAGGTAAGGTTTTCAGAACAAAATGCACCATGGCTTTCTCACAGAGATTGTTCTTGCTAATTGGGTGAAATCATATCTTTTTTTGTTGTTGTTATTGTTGGTCATGGGGCCTGAATTCTGAGCCTGGGCGCTGTCCCTCAGCACTTCAGCTCAAGGCTATGCTATACCATTTGAGCCATAGTGCCACAACCAGTTTTTTGGTTGTTTATTGGAAATAAGAGTCTCATGGACTTTCCTGCTTGGGCTGGCTTTGAACTGCGATCCTCAGATCTCAGCTTCCTGAGTAGCTAGGATTATAGGCGCATGAGCCATGGGTGCCTAGCTCTCATATCTTTTTTTGTTGTTGTTGTTGGTCATGGGGCTTGAACTCTAAGCCTGGATGCTGTCCCTCAGCTCTTCAGTTCAAGGCTAGGTTTCTACCACTTGAGCCACAAGGCTACTTCTGGTTTTCTGAGTGGTTTATTGGAGATAAGAGTCTCACGGACTTTCTTTTGTGCCCCAGCTGGCTTTGAATTGCAATCCTCAAATCTCAGCCTCCTGAGAATCTAGGATCACAGGCATGAGCCACTGGCACCTGGCTTCTCATATACTTTAACTAATATGAATAGATACAAAATTTTGAGTTATATATTCTCTTGATCTAACCAGAAGAGGAGGGAATAATTCTCTGCTAGTAGTGAGATTGGAACATTGGTGCCAGCCCTCCCGGTGACTTCATCCGAGAAAACTCGGCAGGATACTAAAATTTTATTTTATTGTGATGTGAAGCTTTGAACCTAGAACTAAAGTTCACCTTCAAATGGTGATCAGGGATTGTCAGCTGGTGCCTCACATCTGTAATCCTATCTACTCGGGAGGCTGAGATTTGAGGATTGCTATTTGAGGGCAGCCTGAGCAGGAATGTCCATGAGTCCAAATGTAGAGACGTGGCTCAAGTGGTAAAGAGCTAGCTTTGAGCAAAAGAAGCTCAAGGACGGCACCCAGGCCCTGAGTGATCTTGATGGGTGTATGTGCTTTGCCTTCAGACCAAATTTTGGCCCTGGGTTGCTGCCGTCTTCAGAGGTGGTGGCTTCTGAGCCCCCGCAGCCTCAGGCATCAGCCGAAGCTCCGTTTGCTGCCCGAGGGATCTACTCTGAAGATATGCCATCGGTGGCCCGGCCTCGGCCTGTCGGGGGTACGACAGGTATGTGTGACCATTGAGCTCGGATTCTGCACTATGGGATACTTGCTTTGGGGCTATATTAGGAAAGACTGGTTTAGGCTTTGCCGAGAGCCCGTGTCCTGATGTTCATTGGCCTCTACCACTGGATGGGAGCTTCTTTACTCAGACCCTGGGGTGGGCCAGGCCACCGGGGAGGAGGAGGAGCAGCGGCGGACCCCTCAGGATGATGTCCACTGTTCTGGTCCCAAAGCAGCCAAATTGATTGAAATTGCATGCTCACACCTTCCCAGAACATCCCTGAATTCTTCCAATAAACACACAAGAATGGCATGAAAACAAGTTTGTTTGTCACTTGGTTTTTTTCTAAATTTGTTTTTGCCAGCTGCTGGTGGCTCACTCCTATAATCCTAGATACTCAGGAAGCTGAGATCTGAGGATCAAGGTGTGAAGTCAGCCTAGGCAGGAAAGTCTGTGGATTCTCACCTCCAAAAAAGGCTACTAGTGATAGGAAATGGACTCATTACCTTACTCGTGTAACTGTAACCCCTCTGTACAGTATTTTTACAATAAAAACAATTTTTTTAAAGCTAGGAGTAGAGCTGTGGTTCCAGTGGTAGAGCTCCAGCCTTGAGCAAAAAATGCTAAGCAAGAATGTGAGGCCCATGGGCTGGGAAGGTGGCTCAGTGGTAGAGCGCTTGCCTTGCATGCCTGAGGCCCTGGGTTTGATTCCTCAGCACCACATAAGCAAAAAGAGAAAAGCCGGAAGTGGCACTGTGGCTCAAGTGGTAGAGCGCTAGCCTTGAGCTGAAGAGCTAAGGGACAGCGCCCAGGCCCAGAGTTTGGGCCCCATGACCGGACCCAAAAAAAAAAAAAAGAATGTGAGTTCAAGCCTCAGTAGGGGCACAAAGAAACCCTTCCCCTCAAGAAAAAAAAAAACAACAACCACAAACCTATAAAGAATGATGTTCCCTGAGGGTTTTTTTAAAAAAGTGTATTATATATTCAGATCCGTATGAATGTTAGTCACGAGCAAGAAGCAGCCAGGTTTCAGCTCATTATGGGTATGTGTCTTAGCAGTGCTACTAATCTCCTGGCCTTGAAGGAGCTGTGCTTAGGGCTGGTGGTGTCTAAGCAGCCCCTCTCTCCTGCAAGCACTGACCTGTCCCCCACATCCTGTTCCCTCCAGGCTCCCAGATCCAGCACCTGACGCAGGTGGGGATTGCTAGCCGAATCGGGGCCCAGCCCGTGGAAATCACACCTGGAAGAGGCAGCCAGTACAGTGGACCAGGCTGGCCTGCATATGCGGAGGAGGAAGCGGGACGAAGAGAAGCTGTGAGTACCCGGGCCTCCGTCACAGCTCGAGTGCAGCAGAGTCTGCTTTGAAAACCTGCGTTAAAACAAAACCAAAACCAAACAGCTTAGTGGTGGAGTGCTTGCATAGCATGCATGAAGCCCTGGGTTCCATTCCTCAGGACCACATACACAGAAAAAGTCAGAAGTGCTACTGTGGCTCAAGTGGTAGAGTGCTAACCTGGAGTAAAAGAACTCCAGGGACAGTGCCCAGGCCCTGAGTTCAAGTCCCAGGACTGGCAAAACAACAACAAAAACAAAATGAAACAAAAACCAGTTTCCATCTCCCCTACCCTTTGGGCTTTTGTGTTTGTTTATGGTTTTAGATGGTGAACTCCCCCTCTGCTTTGGGGAAAGTACGTGATTTTCCTTGAGATGGCCTTTAGACCTTCAGCAGTGCATTTGAAGATGAGTTAATCCTGTAGATAGTCACCTGGTGCGTGGTTGTCAGTGTCACTGATGTGTATGTAACATCTTACGGTTTAGCCCTGTGGTGGACTCACATCACTCCTGCCCCAATTGCTGTGAGCAGCCATTGCCCTGGCAATACCCATCTCAGAGTGCTGAACGTCGGCCCGGCTGAGATCTGAGGATTGCAGTTTGAAGCCAGCCTGGGCAGTAAAGTCTGAGACTCTTTATTTCAGATAACCACCAAAAACAAAAATAGAGCTGTGGCCCAAGTGGTAGAGCGCCAGTCTTGTGCAGAAAAAGCGCGAGTGAAAAGCCCTGAGTTCAAGCCCCAGTACTGGCACAAAGCAAGCACACAAAATCCATTGTTAAAAAAATACAGAAAATGATTTTGTGATGTGGCCTGGACTCTGTGGTCGCAGTATTTGTGCGCGCTGCCGGGGCCCCTCGGGAGCTCCACCTGCCAGCATTCCACACTCAGGCAGGTGCTCCCCCTCCCTTCCAGCCCCAGGTCCCCACCTGTTCTCCCTGTGGCCTGGGAACCCAGAGGGGACTTAGGGGGCGGGGACACCCCCCCCTCCCCCGGTTCCATGTCTCCAGAGTTGTCCCCCATCGTTCCCCGGTGGGAAGTGCAGTAATGTTTGCTGTCTTTCAGACCCACATGCTCGGACATCAAGAGTATTCTTCTTCACCGCTGTTGCAGGTGCCAAGGACTTCGGGCAGGGAGCCCTCGGCTCCGCCCGGGAGCCTCGCACCCCGGGGACTGCAGGGCCCTGGGCTGGGGTACCCCACCAGCTCCACCGAGGACCTCCAGCCCGGCCACTCCTCAGCCTCCCTCATCAAAGCGATCCGCGAGGAGCTCCTGCGGCTCTCCCAGAAACAGAGCGCCGTGCCCAACTTCCACAGCTGAGGCCTCCCCTCTGCAGCTTTGCCAAGTATCCGCTTCCCGTGGAAGCAAGATCAACAGGAACTGGACTGAGCGCGTGCGTGCTTGGAACAGGAAACGAGTGTCATCTATCTCCCAGGGCCCGCTGCCCACCCGAGGAAGGGCACAAGGTTCAGTGCTAGACAATGCCACCGGTCGCACACCAACCCCTGAGACTTTTATACTAGGTTGACAAGGCGGTTCAGTTCAGCAGATGTGTACTTTTGGCCCAAAGCTAGCAGAACTTCACAAAAACAAAACACAAACCCAAGCTAACAAAAAACACATGCTGGTAGTCTGCTTTGTGAAGGTGAAAGGTTAAAGTGTGTCACTGGTTCAAGGCTGAGAGGAGCTGAGCATGTCCATGGGCTCACAGAGTCGCGTGCAATCATACACTGCTGCTCTGTTTGCTAAGAAGAGAGATCTGAAGACATTTTATTAACCGCTTCATTCCCTTCTTTTCCTCCATAGGAACTTATTTTAAAAATAATATTAACAAGAATACTAAGACTGTTTGGAAATAAAACACAAAAAGGTACTCGTGAGAAACCACATGATAGATTGTAGAACCTGATGAGGATTCCCAATGAAGCCATCGCCTCCATTTCCATCCTCCTCTTCCTCTTCCTCCTCCTCCTCCTGGTGCTAAAGTTCAAGGGCCCTTCACTTTTCTGACTGGGAAATGCAGTGTTGGCTTTTGCAAGTGGGAGACTATGTTGAAGGTTTCATTTTGTTCTAGAAAGAACAAAAAAACAAAACAAATCCTCCCAAATTGGGGGAGAGGGGATGACAAGGAGAGGACTTAATATTTATTTGGTTATTCAAAAATACGTATTGAAGTTTAGGTTTGCATTCTTAATTGTATTTACTGTTTATCAGTTGGTTATGAGCAACTCTTAACCCACGTTAGCACAGCCATTAGGGTCCAGACCCCAGAGTGAGGCTGTCAGGAAATCCTAACATAGATCCTTGTTCTTTGCTGGACATCTGCTCCCAAGTGATCTTTAAATGAGAAGTCAAATATGAAGATACATTGTTCATAATTCATTCCAGGAACTACTGAACAGAGAGGAGAGTCCATCCTTCCTGGTCACATTCCTTGTGTTCAAGTCCTGGGAGTGAAGCAAGTTCAGGTTAGCCTGTTTGTCACGAACAAGAAGGGAAGAGTTTTGAAACCATGAGGGAAAGGAGAAAGTTGCCCCTGTTTTTTTTTTTTTTTTTTTTTTTTAATTTTACTGTCTTACTTTGTTGAATGACTGTTAAAACTCTCTTAGGTACTTTGGCCAGAGAAAAGTGGATCCTCTTACTTTAAAAGGTCCCTCTTTCATTTCTCTACCTCCCACATGAAGTGAGAGAGTGCCATTCGTTTTCTGGTTCCTGAGTGCAACTCAGAATTGCAGACTAACAAGAGAGTCTGCCATGAGCCACTTTAGCAGATGAACTAATACTTTCAATCACAGGTGGCTTGGTAGAACTAGGAACTCAGCCGAACCCAAAGCCAGAACCTGGCCACAGCTAGAACAGGCTCCCCAAGTGTGGCCATGAGATCCAGAATCGCTTCTGCACCTGCTCATTTAGGCCTGTGACTCAGGCTTAGTGTCTCAGTCAATTCTGGGAAGCTCAAGTGTCAGTCTTGCCCCACACTGGATGAGAGGAGAATCCAAGTGGGTATCAGTTGAGACGCAGTGCCTGGCCCCAGAGCCTCTGCGGAGGAACATCAAGTCCTTCTGGGCTTTGTTTCTTACTGATTGATCTTGTTTCAATACCAACTCTGCCCAAAGGGGAGAATGTTCTTTCCATGTCAATCAAAAAGGCCCACAATCTTGAATATGATAGTGAGACTTTCAGGTATCTAAGCAGAAGTTTATTCTAGAACCTTTATGATGAGTTCCAATCATGTGACAACAGATAGAATAAATGGCCCTTCCTCCCCAATTCTGCTCAGTATCCTGAATGTTCTGCATCCAGAGTGTCCTGTAAACAGTCACTTCCTGTGTGTACTACAGAAACGGTGTGTCTACAGTGACCATCGAGAGATTCTACCTGTATTTTTTATTATTAGAACTGATAGACCTTGAAACAGATGTCAAGACCAAAGATGACATTTGATACACTGGTGGCACGTGGTATGGTGTGAGCAGGCCCTGTGGGGTTGCCAACACCCCATTGTGGGGAAATAAAGCACAGTGTGTTCTCATTTACTCTCATCATTAGGCAAGGCAGGTTTCCCAGTCACCAAACTCAGAAGAAAGAAACTGTCCGAGGACTGACCCATGCTCAGGGTGTCTTCACTGTGTGACGTAAGCAGAAGCTCTTCTTGTTGGTTACGAGGAGCTTCGATGATGTAGAAACCTTGGAGTCCACATAATGAAGCAGATTTTATGTCTGGCCCCCACCCCCACCCCCTGTTTTCGGAAATTCTGGGTACACGAACTTTAAAAATTTGCATTGGAGAAGATGGTTTGGAGAAGGGCGCTTTTTTTTTTTTTGGCCTGTCTGTTGTGACTAACTCAGTGTGTCAGCTTTCTTCTCTGAGTCTCCTTCATTTCCCCATCAACAGAAGAGAGCAGCTCTCCCCCCCCCCCCCAGCACCAGGGCTGCTAGTGGTGAGAACCGGATGTGATGCAGTGGGTCAGCAGGCCCCTCCCCCCCCAGGAGGGAGCAGAAGGTGATGTGAAAACAGAAAATGCTGTGGGTGTGAACGTCCCTGGATGGATGATGGGATGCATTGGGATCTCCCAGTGAGTGCGTTGACACAAAGGTAACCAGAGCAAAACTGAACGCCCACTGTGTCTCATCCTCTTCACTCTGGTTTGGTTTAAACTCACTTCCACTTGCAAAAGGCATCTATGGAGCATCAAGAGCATCTGTTCTTGACTTTCTGCTGTGTCTTACACCAAGGGGGTGAGCCCTTAGGAGCCCTGTCTTTGGAGATCTTAGAATCTAAGCTGGATAGTACAGATAGGTATAAAAGATGGGAACTAGAGCTAGATGCTGATGCCTATAATCCCTGCTACTCAGGAGACTTGAGATCTGAGGATCACTGTTTGAGGCCAGGCAAATTGGAGAGACCCTTCTCCCTTCAGTTCAAGCACCACACACACACAAAGATGGAAAATACATATTTAAAAAAAAACCCATAGATTAAGCATCCCTCAGTGGCCAAATGCATTGGGCACACAAAATTGGTAGAAGTTGCCTGGTTGGAACTAATGGAATCTTGGGGAAAGTCAACTGCAGAAGCCGCTGTGATGAAGATGAGAGTTACCTAAGCTAATGCTGAAGTGGCAGAAGGTGAGCCCAGAGTTGAGCTGGGGAAGGATCTAGAAGTTGGGGTACACCGTCATTGAAAACAAATGATCTGCCATAGTATGGGGACTCTGTGGGGAGTTTCAGAAGAGAAGAGAGTCGCCCCAGGAGGATGCACTTGTGGTAATTCAGTAGATGGCCAGGCTGTCAACGATCTACAGAGGAAGAGCTCCAGCGTGGGGGACGGAAGGGGAGAGGACCAAGGACTCGAAGGCTCCATATAAAGTATGCAGATGGTTGTTAAAAATGACTCTGTGAGGGTTACTGCTTAGAGCAGATCTTGATGTCAGCCATTTGATGACAGTCTGAGTCCTTTGTAGAGCACAGTAGGTTATAAATAAATATATTTGACTTCTTTATAGCTATCTAAATGTTTTCCTTTAATTATAGTGTGTGTGGATTTGAGTGGCACATGGCTTTTGGTCAGGTTTTTCGAGGCTGGATGCCTGTGTGGCACAGCACAGGTGCAGAAGCAGGAGCAGAAGGCTTGGGCCAAATGAGTAGCGATTCTGCGCGCTCTGGGTCTCGATCTGGTACCTGGGTTCTGTGGCTACTGCATTTGCATTAATGACTGTGATGTCTTAAGAACCACCAGTTCCTTGGATGCTGGTCAGCATCGGCACTGCCTCACAAGTTAATCATTGCAGAGGGTTCTTCTATAAACCCTTTCATCCTGGATTCTTACATGTGGATGACTTTGATGCTTGGAAGGTTCTAGGCTTGGGACAGGGTGTGTCCATCTTGGCTCTCACCCTCACGTTAGCAATCTTGGAGTTTCTGCCATTTCTACCTCCAGAGCAAGGCCCCAGAGTTGATCCGTGGGGCTTGCTCACCCGTGTTTGGCCTGGGCTGCAGCACGAGGAAGTTGATTGAGTACCTGCAGGTAGACTGAGCACAAACACATTTCAATGGCACGGTTCATTGAACGTGGTTTTTCCTCTGAATCCAGCACACTGCGGGCATTGTAACAGGTGAGAGGGTTTCCATGGGCCTCTGTGGCCACATTCTCACGAAACGTGTAGATTACATCTGTCACCTCATCAGCGAGAACGGGGCACGTTTCAGGTTCAGTTTTTATTGTGAGAGGTGATTGATCATCAGGTGTTAAAACCAGGACTCCTTTGTCCCCTATTTAAAACCTTGAAAACTGAAAGGTCAGGTTGCAATTTTAATTTCATGCCAGTGGATATAAATGTACACTTTACAATTCCCTTACAAATGCACAGCAGCCGTGGAGTGTCAAAGATGAATATGAAATAGTTTTAGCAACATGAAGCGGTGGTTAGGACATGGATAGTGTGACAGGGAGGAGCTGACATGGACTCCTGGCTGTCCTTCTTCCCCTGGGTTTTTCTGCTCTGGGGCTACTGAACATTTAAAGAAAGTGCTGGGTGCTCGTGGCTCACTCCTGTAATCCTGGCTACTCGGGAGCCTGAGATCTGAAGATTGCAGTTCACAACCAACCTGAGCAGAAAAGTCCGTGAGATTCTTCTCTAACCACCAAAAGGCTGAAGTGGAGCTGTGGTTCAAGTGATAAAAACACTAGCCACGAGTGAAAAGGCCAAATGAGAGTGCAAAGCCTTGAGTTCAAGCTCCAATACTGGTGCGTGCACATACACACACACACACACACACACACACACACACACACACGGGTAGGTAGAATAAAAAGTAGAACAACTTAAGTCTTGGAGCCCCTTGATTGCTTAGAACCAGAGAGGTCACGCTCAGAGGTACCCAGGGTGCTGGCTTGTGTCTTCCTGGGTCAAAGATTGGTTTTTTTCCCCTTGCATCTCCATTCCTATGAGTAGCAATGTATGAAGCTGCAGAGCAAATTGGGGCCACCTGTGGCATCAGTACTGCAACTTGAACTTGACAATCAAGGTTTGCTGGTCTCACCTGGGCAGTTGAATCTCAGTATGGGTATTTGCTGTAGTTACTGAGCCTCCCTTCTAACTGTCAGTTATGTTTCTACCCTTCCTTCAAGTAGCTGCACTGTTTTCTAATGTGCTGTAGAGTTTTTGGAATAATTTATGCAAGTGTTTGGTTTCCATGTTTACAATTTTTACAGCTTTCTTATTAGCATTTTAAATGGAAATGTCAATAAAAGCTACCACTTGGTGTCAAAGTGATATTTTCTGTTTATTTCCTCTGCAACAAAAGAGTTCGTGAAACATGGCAAGTCCCAGGAGATGGCCTTTTTAGTCCCTTAATTTTGTGTCCCTGGTGACAACCCTCCCCCCCGCCACACACACTTTTGTTTGCCAGGGAATTCAGTTCAAAGGAGAGTATTCAGAGAAGAACTGTTTTCATTCAGTTGTTTTCATTCACGTTGTGTCACTGCCTCTGCTCTGTTCTGCTCTGTTTTAACTCACTGGGCAATTCAGTACAGCCACTAATAACAGCTTTACTTTGAAAAGAAAACATCAGGACTCTCAAACCCAGTGCAGTGGCTCATGACTGTAATCCTGACTATGTAAGGGCTTGAGAATGGGAGGATCGAGGTTCCAGGCTAGCTTGGGAAGAAAAGTTGGTGAGATCCTTTTTTTTTTTTGTCGGTCATGGGGCTTGAACTCTGGGCCTGAGTGCTGTCCTTCAGCTCTTCAGCTCAAGGCTAGTGCTCTACCACTTGAGCTAAGCATCACTTCTGGTTTTCTGGTGGTTTATTGGAGATAAGAATTTCATGGACTTTCCTGCCCGGGCTGGCTTTGAACCACAATCCTCAGATTTCAGCC